CAACATTTAAATTCAAAATTTCTAACTCTTGTGTGGTCCCCAATAACGGCTATATTTTTCATTCTCATTCTACAATAAGGTGGCTCAAACAGGGCCCTAATTCATCTTCAATTTTCACCCCTACACCGTACCCAACACCAGCGATCGAGACGGCGATAGACGCTTCACTGGTGACAGGTGCTCGCTGCGGCAGTGCGAGACGGCAAGCACCGTTGTGCGCGATCTCTGTTTTTCATCTTCTGTTTTTGTTCCTCTGTTGTTCACAGTTGATGGTGCACAAGAGGATGGTGGTTCGTTGACCTGGCGACATCTTTACGCGCAGCGGACTGTCACCATAGCTACAAGCAGCATGGAACAACTGCGATCTCCATCCAGCGTCGCTCGACCCAATATAAATCTCCACCCCAGCGATGTTGTTCGACTTAGTTTTAATCTTAGTGTTGCGGACTAGGATGCTTCTTCGAAAATTTACATATTTTGTCAATGGAGAGATTTAGTTTTGCAGATCGATGTGGTGGTGTGTGAGGTGGTTGTTGTTGTGGTTGAGAAGGTGTCGACAACAGTTTGTGGTGGTCTTGTTTGATTTTGGTGAAGGCTATTGGTGGTTTATTTGTTGATTTAGAGAGGTGGTGGTGAAATTATGATAGCCGACGGTGTCACAGTGACTTGATCTGGCCAGCGGAAGGCGTGACAACATTTGGTGATTTTGGGGTGATTATTTTGGAGGTTTGGAAATGGTGTTGGTGCAGGTTGTAGTGAGGTTGTGGCGTTATTGGTTGTGGCGGTGCAACTAACTGTGGTCGACGGTGGTGGAGTGTAGATGGTGGTTGTGGTGGTCAAGGTGGTGGCAACGGCGTAACGGTAATGGATTTGAGGAGATGGCGGCGACGATGGTGGTTGATACATGCAGCTGTCGTGGTGGTTAGGTGGTGGTGGTCACAAATTGTTTTGTTGATTGTGACCAATAAATTGGTTGGTGTGTGACCAATGAAATAGATAAATGGCTACCAATACATAATGTAGATATGTCAAAACAGGCGAGCCGAGCCGCAGATGAAGAAGCTTGGGTACATCCCGGGTAAAAATAGAACCGGCCTGTGTGGGCTTTCCGGCCGATCCGAACCAGATCGGGGGGAAGGGCGGGCCCGGCCCGGACCGGACCGCAAGCCCGCATGGGCCGGGTCGGCTCGCTAGGCACGATTTTTTTTTCAAAAATAAATGGTAAAAATAATTATAGTGAAAATCGATAAAAGTTACATAAAAATAAATTTTACATTGATTTATTTTTCGATAAATTTTACATCAATAACTAAATAACATAAAAACTTACAATTTTTCGAACAATATTTTGCCTAACTTGACAAATTAAA